GTATGACGAGCCTTCCTCGATCCAATAGAAAAAAAATCAATTTAAGCCAGTAGTTCCTGAAATATTCAGCTTAACAATATTAGTATGGGTTAATATCAGTAAAAACATTTGGCAGGCGTTTATATATGCTTTTAATTATTCGACTTTGGCGAACTCAAAAATCGAAAAGAACTTTGGCTATATGAATATAACAACTTCCGACGTTAGATAGTAGCGGCTCTCATTCCCATACATTTAAACCCTCGACAAATAAATCAAAATGTGACCAACGTTTTCATCATTATGTGATTTAAAATAATGATTTTGTCACCCTCGTAAGCGACTAATGCCACGGAAGCCGATCTTTTGATAATTCGACTGCTGTCATAACAGCGGATACTGGCCATTTAAGCTTATTTCGCCTAATTGAATCCTAGGGTATTAAAACCCTCTAACCTATAATCCCTTTTATGGGGATCACGCCGACGCTTTTTCACGCAGTCAAGTGTCTCCTTAAGCCTTCTATTTTTTATCTCCTGATCTGATTCTTATAACATGAAGAGCAATTTTAACCCAAAAGTGGAAAGGGTTTTTGGAAGGTTTTGTTTACAAAATTTATCAAAAAACACTTTCACCGATTTCAAACGAGAAAGCTGTTATTCTCCTTAAATTTTCATATATTGTATTTCAAACCGTTGAAAGTATTTTATTTGGATATAAAAAATAAATAACAATAAACAATACTTATGCATCACATCAGATAAAAAAAAAAAAAAAAAAAAAAAAATTTTTTTTTCCCCCCCCCCCCCCCACCCCCCGCCCCCCCCCCCCCCTATCCCTCATATTAGGGGGGGGGGGGGGGGTCCCCCCCCCCCTTTTTTTCCCCCCCCCCCCGGGGGGGGGGGGGGGGCCCCCCCCCCCCCCCCCCCCCCCCCCCCCCCCCGTTGGGGCCCCCCCCGGGGGGGGGGGCCCCCCGGGGGGGGGGGCCCCCCCCCCCCCCCCCCCCGAAAAAAAGGGGTTTTAAAAAGGGGGGGGCCGGGGGGGGAAAAAAGGGGGAAAAAAGAAAAAAGGGGGAAAGGAAAAAAAGAAAAAAGAGGGGGTTGGATACGGAGTTCTTGAAGTATCGAGACGTTCGTGCGCTCGGTCCACGAACCCCAGCCCAGAGGTAATTTTGCCTTCCCCCCCCCCACCCTCCGAATACCCATAACATATAATAATGTAATTTATAAAGAACACTCCTTCTCTTTATAATTGTCAAAATATTTTAAACTGTACACACAAACACAAACAATGAATGTATTGACACAGATATATAGATTATTTTGTTTATTTGTATATATATATAATATTATGGTTTTACTGAATGTCATAAATGAGCATAATTGACTCATTTGTTTTGCGGTCGAATTTCGACCTCCACGCTACTAGTTAACCGAATTGCGCAACATCAACAACATTTTACAGTAATTAAAATTTACGACTAGTTAAATAAACTGTTAAACTTGCAATATTTGTGTAGTGACGTTCTCTATCGGCAATATAAAAGTAATCTAATGGATTATAAAACCCATGTCGGTACATTTCAAAGGTTATTAAAAAAATAAATGCTCAAGTACTACCCGCATGCGGTTTAAGTAATTTCTAATCTATAACTAGTTGAAGAACTTTCAATGGCGGAACGTCCTTAAATATCCAACCATCGATTTTATAACTGTTATAAAAAGCTTGGAAGGAAACACAAAAAAATGTTGCAAACTGCGATAAGTGTTAAGTGTTCGATGTTGTTCGTGCGGAAATCATTCTCAAATTGCACATCAAAAACTACCTTCCGATCGCGTTTGGGTCTGCGAAGTTTTTTTGAAATCTTCAAATTGTACACTTCGTGGATACTAATATTAATAGCTAACTAGCTTCCGTGAGTCTATATCAAATTTCATGAACCATTCAGTTTTAAGAGTATCGTAAGCGGATACCGCTTAAGTTTGCGGTCAAGTGAACTTTTTCGTTTTCTTTAATTGCTAATCAGAATTAATAATTGTCTACTTTTGTAGGAAATTCATATGCTGCAGATGTAAAATATTGTTGTTCATCTTTTAAAATGGTTATTCGTAGAAATAATATGATCCCAAAAACATTGGATAGAATATTCGGTTTTACTTTGCGACTAATAAGATACCTTAGATTGTAAAATAATTAGTATTTAAACTTTACACAAATTTATCCTTTTATATACTTCTTATAATTAGTATAGTATTGATTGATTCATATATATATTAGTGATTCTGAGAACTATACTTACTACTTTTATACTCCAAGCTCAAGTAGTAAAAGAAATGTTAATATAGTAAAATTACATAACAAAATGGAAATTACCTAGATAAAGTTCATTTAAACTTTATATAAGGTTTTTTCTGATACAAAACAATGAATGTACAGTATTACTGTATTGTAGATATACCTGTAAGATCTCACCCGCATCCATCAGTGCTTGCAGCGAGGGAAGTCGATATCCGACAATTAATTATAATATTTATGCTAGCGAACTCCTTACATAAGGTTAAATCACTTATTTTACTGCTAAATGCGGAGTCAAAAGTAACATATAAGAACATAAACACTGACATTTTTCAAATTAATGGTTCTCTCACAGCTGTTTTTATTCGATATTTTTTAATTATAATATAAAAATAATAAATACATTTTGTAGCCGACATTGCGTTAATAATTTTAAAGTGCACAAGAAATTTCAGTGCAAAAGAGTTAAACGCGTTCGTAACAACTATATCAAACTCAGTGTTTAACATTTTATTTATAAAAAATGACTACTTTTATCTTAGACTGTTTATATTTTCAATTTCATTGTTTTGTGTTTGTGTGAGAATTTTATATGTTAAAAATGTATCATGGAATAAGAATTGAGAAGCAGAGACAAGCATTTTCACTTGATAGCAGGTGAAATGTCCCGGTCCAATTTAGATGCGCTATCTAGAATCCATGGACTGAAACAAATTACGGTTTTCCACCTGAGTTTGGTGGTTCGAAAGCTGTACTTGGATTTCAAAGTTCCTACTTTTAACATCCAGATTTTCCAACCGGAGTCAAACATGTTTTAGAATACTAATAAAAATATTTAGAAGTTAAGAAGATATTAGACTCAGCGATATTCGAACCCACGTTTGTTATAAGTGACCCACGGCGCATCAAACCACATAAGTAGTACCTTTACTATAAAATTTTTACTACAAACTGCTTATCGTTTTCATTTCGCAAAAATCACGAACAGAACAAAGCTCACGTGCGCCTTGTAACGAGATTATACTACAAAGCGAATCAAATTCGTTTCATTTTAACAGTTTCCGGAATTTGGCAAACTACACGTTTTTGTTCGCCGGCAAACAGGAAGCTTTGAAGTGGGAAATAAATGCAATATTTGACGATCTAAGCGATGTAATCCGGCGCAGCCTATAAGCGGACACGATTTTTGAAAAACGAGAGTGTGTTGTGTTTTTTTACACCTTTTTACTTTAAAAAACTATAATCTAAAATCTTATATTCATTTTTATTTTATTTTAATAAGATAGGATACGTAAAGCGTCTAAACTCAATTTTGTTTAATTTTGACATTACTATAATATATTCTATAGATGTCAAATCCTATCATTACTAAATAGGTTAATAGTGGTGGGCTTAAGTCGATCCTCATGGAGTAGGTAGAGATAAATGTATCTTTGACTACCTAAGACAAATGTTGATCAGCTATGTACCCTGTTCTAACAAAACTATTTACTATGCTTTCACGAGCTCGAACCTAAAACCTTCTGCGCTTAAATGCTTAGTATTGAGGCAAAGGCCAGAGAAAATGTTGTAGAGAAGTATATGTAAATTCAAAACAATAAAAACCCATAAATAAAACACTTCAACGGTTTAAAACGCGATATATTAGTTAAGCTTATTTGAAAATGATTTTTAACTTCGGCCCGACGTTTCGGATGCTTTGTAGAAGCCGTGGTTCCCCGGGACTCGAACTCAGGACCTCTCGCGTTTAATGCTGAGCAACACAAACGTACATATGTGCATACATTTAAACCCTGTAGAATTGAAAAGTCAAAGCAGTTAATCTTCAAGCTCTAGATACAAACCGAGCTCGTTTTTCGTAGTAATCAAGTGTATCGTACATTATCATTTGGTTCTCACCCGATGCGAACTTCACTGCTCTTATCTCAACCTTTTATTCGCACATGTAAATGCATTTAGCTCCCTCCCCTTATCTCGTTGGACACCATTAATCTTGTATAACAATGCCTGCGCAGTGTGACCGAAATGCCTTAATCAACCGCCTAAGGTGTGATTGCGATTTTGCATACGAACTGATAAAATTTGGCATTAATACTGGCCTTTACAGATTTAAATAAAATACTTTTAACGGTTTAGAACGCGAAATGTAGCTAAACTTATTGACATGGGGTTGCAAGGTCACGGGAGGACCACGGTTCCTAAAAAGCAGAAACCACGTCCATATTTAAACTTTGAGTTTTAAACCGTTAAAAGTGTTGTATTTAAATGTGTGCTAATCGCGTAAACTACAGACAGTGTTCATAGGCCAAACCACTATGTTGAGAAAATTAAATTATTTTATTTAAGTTGTTTAATTTATTAATATGGTATAAATTATATTTTTACGTTATTTAATTTAAATTACCCAATTCGTTAATAACAATTGTGTTTAACCTATAAGAATTTCAATTATCTTCTATTTGCACTATATAAAAGATAGAACTTAAAAGTTTAAAGATAGAAGGTATTTTAAGGGAAGGACTATTTTTTTCTTTAATGTACAGGGAAGAATTAGTAAAATGCAGTCATAATTGTAGTATAATTTATTTATTAAGCGATTCAATTAAATCTATACACAATTAATACCTAACTTATTCACAAATAAACCTTTACCTATATATTAACAAATTTAGAACAGTAACAATGACTAGAAAACAATTGTAACTTACTATTTTTCAATTAAAACATCATTTAGGTTGCCACCAAGAAAGTTCGTCTAACAACTCATTATTGTTCATTGAATTTATATCGCTGTACGTATTAATTGGTGGGGCATAGTAATCGTTACACATGGAATAGGACGATGACACACCAGAAGAACATTCCGAATTCACTGGTGAAGGCACGGAATCTGAATATGGTGAAGTACGCCCAGCGAAGATGCCTTCGTCAATATCTGTCGATACGTCCATGGGGCTGGTGATTCCAACGGTCGCGTCACAGTCTTCAACCAGGTTCTCCAGATATCGTATATACTCCACTACCATTTTTAGAGTGTCCACTTTGCTCAGCTTCTTGCCAGAGCCGCGACGCGCTCCACCGGATAAGGCGTTGATGACAGCCGCTGGTAATCTCTTCCTCAACGCGTTGAATCCATCGTTCACTTGTTTGACGCGGTTCCTCTCGCGAGCATTTCTTCTCGCGATAGATGCTGCCTGTGCGCCGGTGTAGGGATTATTTTTATAGTTATACTTCTTTGGGGTTTCCATGACTGGTGATGGTGCGATGGGAACGTACTTGAGCGAATCGTTCTTATAAGCAACGTGAGACATTTTAATGTGTACAGGTAGAATGAGAGATATTGAATGAGGCTCTGGGTGCTAGCTCGAGCTTATAAAGACCGAAAGTCCCGAAAAAAATCGAACAGGCTCCCACCCCTATGGGATTTTTTCCCTTCATTCTACCTGAGATCGGAACAAAAAATCATGCGATACGTTGGAATTGTGCGCGTGCCTATCTATGATAGTGACCGGTACTTGACTCTGAAATTGTTTTGGCGATATTATTTGCGATTATTTTAAATTTGGTATCTTGGTACAGATTGGTAGGTTGCCATCATTGAAAATTCTCATACATAAAATGCTATATGAAACGCATTTTCTTTATCAGAATCTTATTTACTGCTGAATATGGTTTAATTTCTTTTTTATTACATACATATCTATATAATATTACCTTTCCAACTCTTAATTTAGTTTCTCTCTTACTTGCTGTGTATACCTTTACAAAGTACTTTTGATTTATGTTTATTATTCCTCAACCTTACCTACCTACTTGACAGCCCTATTTTTATTTATTTCCCCCTGTACTTCAGGTCACCTGGAAGAAATCACTGCTTAGCGATAAGGCCGCCTTTTATTTATAAATTAGTACGTAAGTTTTTATCTTTTGTAGTTTGTGATATATAGTATAAATAATAAAGCTGTAATAAATAAATAGATGTATCACTTCCAAAGCTTAATCATTCGCCGCATTGCGTTATGTGCTAGAAGCTTTAGAGCCGAATGTTAAGGATAGTTTTTGTCGGTCATGGCTCGGTAGTATGACCCGTCTTTGGTACTTCTAAAAAAAAAACTATTAGTTAAATAGGCACAGAAATATATCCACCATGCAATTAAACCGGTTGTAGACTAACTAAGTAGACACTCATAATAAAACAACAGCTGTATGTGACGTCAAACGATCAGCTGATTGCACCTGACAGTTCTTAGTTAATCAAAAGATTTCGTGTAACAAGTGAAATCTTGCATAACAGTTCGTTATTTATAACAGCACAGAAATAAACAAAGTGCGTTTATTGTATTTGTACGCCAGACAAAAACCATAGCCGATTCTACTTAATTGTTAAAAGGGTTTTCAAATTTAAACTTTATTTCGTACAGCAAAGAGAGACAAGTCGTGCTTTTTGGGTAACTCGATGGGCGGCAGAGCCTTCAGTGAATTTCTGAAAAGGTTACATTAATTTGGAACTGAGAGTCAGTATTTTACATGGCTCTCAATGGTAAGGGCTTCCTATTGTTGTCTTTATTGTACTTAAAAAGATTACACAAGGAATGTGGGCTAGAACCATTGATGGCGAGAAGAATGAATTGTTTAGAAGCCTTCAATCATTCCATTGACGGAGGCGCTAAACTCAATTTAATAGACTTCGTGTCGCCCAAAGGAGCAATTCATATTTAATTTTGTCCCATTGATTCTCTTCGGTCTACCTGACTTTGAAAGACAGAACCTTTAATAGCTCTCATTGTAAGGCCTCTTGTTCCGAGCTGCACAAAATTATAAATGTAAATTAAATATTGGTATATAACACGATATTAAAGCTAGTCAATACTACAGTTACATTATTAATTATTATTTTTATAATAGAGAAAGACAAAGACGCATGTGGTCAACAATACGGGCTATAGACCTATTTTGGCTATGAAACCAGTCCATTTTATATCAAGATTTCTGGAAGTAGTCCAACATGCCCACACCCAGGATCCGTTGATTATGCCAAACATTATTATTTTCAGACCAACGTCAAAAAAAACAAAACACAATCTCAGACTTGCGCCTAAGTTAGGAAGTACCTTGTTACTGAGGCGAGGCTACACAATTGTTACAGAACTAAAGAAATTTTCGTACTTAAAATTTAATTTTTTAGTTTCCAGTTAACTACTTAACTTAACGTTTAAAGCATTATACATTTTCAATACAATGAAGGTTACTAAAATGATTAAGTTTAAATTTTCAGTTTTCTCTATATAATTTTATACGTCCCCAGAGTCATATAACTTCTCACATGTACACGTGAATAAATCCCATCCATCATTGAAGCGTCTTCCTGCTAGTGAATTTGCGAAATATATCGAAGTTGTGGGAGTGATATGTCGGGACAATAGTTACAATAGCGCCGCGGGACAGCTAACAATACTATCGTCAAATAACATTTAGCCAGCCCACACCTTAGAGAATCGCAAAATAGAGACATCTACGAAGCACAATGGAATATAAAGGAGCAACCAGAACAAAATCGATTGATAATTACGACCATCATAAAAGATATATTATTTAAAAACTGGTGGCTAAAAGCGGAATATTTAAAAACAAATAAAAACGTTTTTTCAAGTAAATCTGTAGTCTACGCGAGTAGTACACATTTAAGCAAGACTTTTGACAACTTAAAACGCGATATGTATTAGTTATCTTATTTACAATTAGCAGTATTCAGTGTTTTTATTAACGAGAGGACTGTGTGAGTCAGTTCTGTAAGGATCCAGCCAGTTTCTCCAAATACTAACTACGACGAAGCAGATGGCGCTAGCGTAGCAGATTTCACTTTGACATTAGACATCCTCCCTCAGTCCACCCGTGACCACGTCAGGCCGTAGTTACAATAAATTGTTATAAAGTTAAAAATGTTATTTAATAGTTTTTTAAACATACATATGTTAGCAGTAATTTTCTATCAAAATTCTCATTCAACTATGATTCGTGTGTAACAATCATGTTCATATCCACGTGTGTCTAGAAAAACAACATAGGATTTACTTCATAGTAATTATATCAAGAACCAATATTTTTTTACGCCGATTACCATAATTAAATATCACATTTAAGCAAACAAAGTTAATGCTGTATTTAGTACACTGTCAGGGGGGTATCTCAATAACAAGCTTATAACATTTTACAATCTCACAAATACTATCTCAAAACCATCTTAATAAAATTGTTAGTATTAATTTCAATATTTACAAGCAACGTATTAAAATTAACAATGTTTGCTGTAGGACGTACAAAGTAGGATTTTCTGTTCATGTTTTTATTTAATGATAGAGAAGTACGGGCGAGCATGACGGTACTTCTTGTAACTTGACGGTAGCATCAAAGCAAGATGCACTATCAACCTATTTTGATTTAAATAAAACACTTTAACGGTTTAAAACGCGATATATTAGTTAAACTTATTTAAAAATGATTTTTAACTTCGGCCCGACGTTTCGGATGCTTTGCAGCAGCCGTGGTCACGGGGAGACTTTTAAACCGTTAAAGTGTTTTATTTAAATGTGTACTACTCGCGTAAACTATAGACAGTATTTAACCTATTTTGACTTTGGATCGTAAACCCGCAGACTGAAATCGAAAGGTGTAACTTAACAGTTTTTTCATTAGTGGACGGTGGTTCGTTACCCGCACGGAATTTCAATAGTTCACCCATTCTCCAGATCCAAATTTCTAAGTTAAATTGTAAATCGATTTGAACATACTGTGTATAGTTTGAGGTTATGTTTACCAATTTAAAATTAAGTTATTGGTAAATTACCTTAGTGGGTCAATACAATGTTAAGGCTACACCAGGGATGATATGGTCGCCAAGTAAACCAACTTCCTCCTCATTAATCACACGAGAAATATGTGTAATAAAAAAGAATTCCTCCTTCTTTGGTCATTACTTTTATACTGATCGAATCTACATATAAGTGGGCATTGCACTTGTAATAAACTCATTCTCTGGATTATAGACAAGAACCGATTACTTGACAGTTCCATTACTGGATCGATGTGTAGCTAATATTTATACACGACGCGTAGTATTCATGCGAATACACGACTTGGTGGTCCATCGGGCACTGGAAATGTCTCTGTTCGATAAAGTTGTAAGCTTAATTACTAAACTGGAACTGTAACGTGTTTCAAAAGGCACCGCGTATGGGATTACGGCGGGTAAATTGAAACTCTAGCGCACAGTTTCCGATTTAGAAATTTTAAATTTCGCGAATTATTATTGGATTGTGGTCGAATTTTTTTTTTTGAGATTGTATATTGCCAAGTTTTAATTGCCATGTTTATATGAGTGTGCCTAGACTTACATAGTACTAAACTGTATCTCCCTACTTCAATATAATCTTACCTGTGTTACAAGAACCCAACAATTTTTGAAAGTTGCTATATTAGTTAATATATGTAATTATTATTAAAATAGAATAAATGGCTGCTTAGCGATAAGGCTGCCTTTTATTTATAAGTTAGTACACAAGATCTTTTGTATTTTTTCTTTGTTTTATGATGTGATATAATATATAAAGCGGAAAATAAAATTCGTCTTTTATTTTAATATGGTTTGGAACACAGCGTAGCAAAGATTCATTTGACTTATTAAATGGATGTAAAATCCGAATATATATTATATATATCGTTATTATGAAATTCGTATCTATTGTTAAATCCGTTAATTTTGTCTCAATTAAAGTAAAGAAACTTGTGACTTCTATATCTTGATGTCTATACATCTATACTAGATAAATATCTAAAGCTTTCCAGCATTGTAGATGTTCATATTTGGCACAAGCTAACGAGTATATAGATTTACACACCTTGCCAACATGTGCAATCCTTTCGCATCTGCCGATCTTGCACTGATTTTATTTATGAATAATATGACGAATTATGGCTGCCCTTTCATTTCTACCACCTTTCCGGATGCGTTCGACATCCGATGTTACCCTTTACTGAGTGTCGCAAAATGCTGAGTCAAGATTGTATTTGATATAACCTAAGTAAATACTTCGATGTTTTCTGGCTACTTAGGGTGTTTTCTGGACATTTAGAAGCACCTTTTATTCTATTTAAAACCGCATTATGGCCCGCGCCTATCAATCCTCCACGGCATCTATTTAATAAAGTTACACGCATGACAGTGCCTTCAAAATGGCGCTTTGTTGCATAACATTTGCCCACTATTGATGTAAGCTTTTCATAAGATCCATTTGGCCCAATTCAAGAGTCGACT